AAGTGTGTGCTTGAAAACTAAAAATCGCAGCTTGATCAGCCATCTTGTCTTGCTGCCATCTTGGTGTCTCCTGTCCCTTTCATTTCTCCTTCTAGGTGCTTGGCCCCAGTTGCTGTCCCGCGGGACGGGACAACTGGCGCCCAACGTGGGGCTTGAGTGTGGCCCTTGGGGTTTGAGTGCCTGTAAGATTGGAGGAATGCCGCCTTCCAGGAGGAAAACTTGGATCCAAGTGACTATGCGACTGGCTCGGAACTGCACACCCGAGATCATTAGCATCGGTCGACGCTGCGGAGTGAAGACGGTGCAAGGTAAGTGACGGCCATGGGACAGGCATCATCGTCATGGGAGATGTTCATTTCAAGTCTCAGGGAGGCCCTCAAGACACGAGGAGTTCCAGTTAAAAATAAGGATCTAAAGGCATTTTTTGAGTATGTAGAAAGATTGTGTCCCTGGTTCCCCAAGGAAGGAACAATTGACGAGGTCAAGTGGGAAAGAGTTGGAAGTTGTTTAAAGGATTTTCATGAGACCTTTGGCCCTGCAAAGGTGCCTATTATGATTTTTTCATATTGGAACCTGACTAATGACATTCTAAAAACCCGTCACCTAGATAAGACTATTGATGCCCTAGTAAGGGATGGTGAAGAGATGTTACAGCAATCCTCCTGACTTGCATCTAAATGCCCATCTGTTGTGCTGCATATACTCTCCACTGATGATGACCCCAGCAATAAAATTAAAGAGCCCATTTTAGCCCCTACCAATGAAGCGAGCCAACTGTATCCTGCCATCCGAGACAAATTAGATTCAGATGAGGAAGCTGCCCCAGGGGAAGAGGTCGTGCACTATCCTAATTCCAATTGGCCCCAAAATGTTAAAAATCCCCTGCCGTACAATACTCACCCGCACCTTCCCATTTGTGCCCCCGCTCTCTATGACTTTAACCCTCCTGTGCCTGATTTGTCGGCCTTGTGACAGTCACTTCAACACAGACGAGAGCACATCCAACTCCTTAAGGAAATAAAATCCCTAGACGAGGAGCTCTGCCACCTTGCCTTAGAGCAGCCCCTTACAAAACCTAAACAAGGTAAAGTCAGCTCTAAAACCCAACCCTCTCTAGCTTTCCCTGTAAGCTGGAGGTCACTCTGAGTCCGCCCTTGATGGGGAAAATGAGGCTGAGGAGAATTTGCCCCACCACTCTGGGGAAGACAGTGAGGAACCTGGGTCGGAGGAGGAAGATCAGGTTCCCCAGTCAGGGACCTGGTAATGAACAGCCGCCACCCTATAAAAAACTTAGTCTCAGATTTATTGAAAAACTTAAAACTGCTTGCACCCAGTATGGTCCCACCGCCCCGTATACTCAGGCCTTATTGGAAAGCCAGAGTGCCTGGTGGCTTACACCTAATGATTGGGACTTCCTCGCCAGAGCTGCTCTCAGCGGAGGTGACTGTGCCCTGTGGAGAGCTGATTATGCTCAAATTTGTAAAGAAATAGCCCAACAAAATTTTGCTAAAACTTGATCTAAAAATTGGACCCTCAAAAACTTTTGGGAGATGCCCCGTATAATTCCAACAATTCGCAGGCCCAGTTCCCCGATGGACTTCTGGCGCAAATTAAAACTGCCGGACTAGGGGCTTGGAGAAAGCTTCCTCAAAGGGGAGCAGTCACCACCTCCTTGGCTAAGATTCAGCAGGGGCCCAACGAGCCTTATAGTGATTTTGTCTCGCACCTTAATGTTGCAGCTGAGAGACTAGTTGGCCCAGGAGAAATAGAAGTGCATTTGTTACGCACCTTGCCTTTGAAAATGCCAACCCAGCTTGTAAAGATATTCTTCGGCCTCACAAACATAAGGGTGATCTTTGAGAATATGTGAGGCTCTGCGCTGGTGTGGGATCAGCCCATGCCATGGGCTTAGCAATTGGGGCCGCACTCAAACTGACCCAAAATCCCTCCAAGGGGACCTCTACTTGCTACGCCAGTAAACAGCCCGGACATTTTACCCGCCAGTGTCCAACCACCTTATCAAACAGGCCCATGGCCCAAGGCGCGGCTCCATCTCCCCCAGGCAGGCCGCTCCCCTCCACCCCATGCCCCCGATGTCATAGGAGTTATCACTGGGCAAAAGAATGCAGGTCAAAGACTAATTCTTCAGGCCAACTCCTTGGGGGGCCAGCCCCTGTCCCTGGTTTCTCAAAGGACAAACCCTGGGGCAGTACGGTTTGTCCCTTCCCAGCCTCAGGCTCAGCAAATACCTCCGCAATCGCTTCCCTCCAAGGAGCAACCCCAGGTAGCGCAGGACTGGACCTCTGTGCCACCTCCGATACAATATTAGATTCCACCCAGGGCCCACAAATTATCCCTACTGGGGTGCATGGCCCCTTGCCTTCGGGTACCTGTGCTTTTACTCTCGGCCGAACATCAGCCACCCTTAAAGGTATTCAAGTTTTCCGGTATTATTGACGGTGACTTTTCCAGGGAGATAAAAATCCTAGCAGCCGCTATTAATGGAGCAGCTGCCGTTCCACAGGGCACCTGTCTAGCACAACTGGTTCTTCTGCCTTTAATTACTGGAAATACATCCTCAATTTCTTCCAGGCCCCGAGGCATTACCCCTTTGGGCTCCTCGGAGGCTTATTGGGTCCAGCCAATTACAAAAAATCTCAAAGACTGCTTTTTCACTATTCCTCTACACCCTGATGATCGCCCTTATTTTGCCTTTAGCCTCCCCTGTGTTAATTTCCAGGGACCTATGCAAAGATTTCATTGGAAAGTCTTGCCCCAGGGAATGGCCAATAGCCCAACCCTTTGTCAAAAGTTTATATTCTGCATTATATGGATGACATTTTACTGGCGGCTCAAAACAAGTCAGACCTACAAGATTGCTTTACAACACTTTCTAAAGCCTTTCTTGCCCTTGGTTTACAAATTGCTCCTGATAAGGTCCAATTACAAGACCCCTTTACCTATTTGGGTTTAAAATTACAACAGGATTTGTTTTTTGTGCCCCGCATCCAGTTCCGCTTGCATTGCCTCCATACCCTTAATGATTTCCAAAAACTTCTAGGAGATATTCAGTGGCTCAGGCCCTATTTGAAAATATTTAATAATGTCCTTTTGCCCCTCAATGACAGTCTGCGAGGAGACCCAGTCCCCCCCCCCCCCCGGGGAGTTCACCCCTGCTGCGGGAGATGCATTAAACCAAGTAGCGCAAGCCATCAGCCAACAGTTTGTTTCACAGATTTCTTATACTCTCCCCCTGCTTTTTGTAGTTTTAGCCACACCACATATGCCCACTGGAGTTTTTTGGCAAAAATCCCTCATGCCCAATAAAAAGGGTCAACCTCTTTTCTGGGTTCATCTCCCCATTTCCTCATCTAAGGTAATTACCGTATATTTGTCTCAGTTTGCTTCAATAATCATCAAGGCTTGCTTCCTTTCCCGCCAATATTTCAGGAAAGACCCCAATGTTATAGTAGTGCCATATACCCAAGAGCAGACTCAGTTCCTTCTTCAAACTTCTGATGACTGGGGAATAGCCATGTCAGGATTTATGGGAGTAATTGACAGTCACCTCCCTGATGACCCCGTGTTACAGTTTGCCCAATCCTATTCCGTTCTTTTCCCAAGAAATACACAAACTAACCCCATTCCAAAGGCTGTTATGGTGTTTACAGATGGGACCTCCAATGGAATGGCTGCCTTTGTGACAGATAACCGTTCCCATGTTTTTAAAAACATCTTATCAGTCGGCTCAGTTGGTCGAGCTGTATGCCATACTTCAAGTCTGTACACAGTGTTCCAGTCAGGCTGATAGTGCATATGTAGCTCACTCCATTCCGTTGCTTGAGACTTCTCCTTTTCTTAAAACAACTTGCAACGCTATGCCGTTGTTCATATGAATTCAAAAGCTAATAGGAGAAAGACAACAGCCCTTCTATTTGGGACATATTAGGGTGCACACAAGCCTACCAGGATCACTCTCAGAAGCTAATACCCAGGCAGATCCTGCTACAAGGCTTACCTTCCCCACAACTGTGGGATCAGTGCAGGGAGCTCAAAACTTGCATAGGTTGCACCACTTAAATGCTCAATCTCTCCATTTGTTTTGTAAAATTTCACGAGAACAGGCTCGTGAAATAGTCAAGGAATGCCCCTCATGTGTTACAAGCCAACCTGTACCGCATTTGGGAGTCAATCTGTGTGGTCTTCTCCCTAATCAGCTGTGGCAAATGGATGTCACACACTTCCCAAAATTTGGCAAACTGAAGTATCTCCATGTCTCTATAGACACCTATAGTGGCTTTGTCTTTGCCTCCCCCCATACAGGAGAAGCTGCTAAGGATGTTATCTGGCACCTTATCACAGCTCTTCTGTACTGGGAAAACCTGTTAAGATTAAGACAGTGGTCCTGCTTATGTCATCGCTAAGTTTAAACAATTTTGTGAGGCGCTCCATATTAACCACATTACAGGAATTCCCTACAACCTGAATTTTAATTTGTGAGGCTTTTCTTGTATATTGTGGGTTTTTGCATCATGGTTGGTATGGCTTTCCCCACTTTCAGGCTGTAAAGGAATTCACTCAATTTCTGTACCACTTTCATGGTTTCACTTTTACGTTTAGGACTTTATCTATTTGACACTTGTCCTTATATACGGGGGAAATTTGAATTCATTTTTATCACTTTACAAACAGCTATATAATTGTCCAGTACTGTTTGTTTAGAAGTGTTTTTTGAGAGACTACCATTGTGGCACAATGGATTGAGCCACCACCACCAGCAGTGCTGGCATTCCATAGCAGGGTGCCAGTTTAATTCCTGAATCCAGCTCCCTACCAATGTGCCTGGGAGGGCAGTGGATGATGGCCTAAGTACTTGGGCCCCTGCCACCTATGTGGGAGACCCAGATGGAGTTCCTGGCTCCTGACTTCAGCCTGGCCCAGCCCTGACAGTTGCAGGTATTTGAGGAGTGAACCATCAGACAAAAGATGTCTCTCCTCCTCCCCCTTTCCCTCTCCCTCCCTCTCTGTTTCGCCCAACATACATGTCTCATGGTATGGCTTTCAAATAAATAAATCTTTTTTTTTTTAAGTCCATTTCCCCTTCCTGATTTGTGACATTGATTTCCTATATGAACTTGGGTCCATTTCAGAACTTTTCATTCCATTCTATTAATCTGGTTATTCATGCTCTGATTCCAAAAGGCTTTAAGTGTGTGGTGGCATCAGGTAAGGACTCCCTCAGCTCCAACAGCACACACACCACACACACACGTACAATTTCCGGATTATTCTTGTTGATACGGCATTGAATCCCTCTATCCAAAATGGGGCGGTTCTTTCCATTGGCTTAAATGTATTTTTATTAACTCTTTTCTTCTTGCCAAAGCACTGGAATACATATTGCTACCTTCCTCCTGCTGGCAGAAGGGAAGGGAAGCTGGGGTGCCATCGGTGTGTCTCAAAGCTGTAACCTAAAGACAAAGAGTTTTGGGTCAGATCAGCTTCTGCTTTTAGAGCCCCTCCCCTACGCATACCCCCACAGGCTCTGTAGCTTTGGTGTATTTTTTCACTTGATCTTAGCCAAAAGGGTGGGAGGTGATGGTATATTTCTTAACTTCTCCTGAGAGCCTTGATTTCCTCACTTGTAAAATAGTCAGTAGTGTCATTTGCAAAGTTGTTGTGAGGATGAATTAATGTAGGATTGTTTTAATCACTTTTTCTGCCTTTGTTGGGACACAGGAACACTGTTGCTCTTTTGAGTACTTTTGTTTAGGTGGCAAACTCTTCTGTGGTCTAAGTGCTTTCACAAACTCAAATGCATACAGTCCTCCTAGTGATTCTCTGGCTGCTGTCATTATACTGATTAACAGAGGCAGTGCCAGGGATGGAGTCCCCCACCTGGGCCACAAGTTGGGCAGCTGGTGGCTGCTCAGCCTGGGGTGTGTGCAGAATTCTAATTTGTTTGTTCTATCTTGTTTTCTGTAAATAGGTCACATCATCCGTTCATAGTGGTGGTTTTGTTTCTTGCTTTGAAATCTTTATATCATCTCTCTTTTCTGTTCTTTTTATTTATTTTGTGATCTTGCTGGGAGGGCTATAACCTTAGTATCATATTGGATTGAAGGAGTGATAGCAGAGAATCTTTGTTTTATTACCAGTGTTAAAGTGATTATTTGAAGGGTGTATCATCAAGTGTGATACTAAAAGTTATGGCAGGTGACCTATTTTATGTAGCTAGCCTGTATCAGTTTAAAACAATGCTAGAAGTTGTTCTTTTAGATTTTAAAAAATCATGAAGAGACTTCATTTTATCAAGTTATTTTTCCATTTATTGAGCTATTTACCTGTTTTTTTTGCTTTCATCTGTTGGCATGGTGATTTAAGGTTCTATTCTACCATTTCACCATTGCAGTGTTTTTGAGACAAACACAATTTGGTTGAGATGTTTGTTTTGTTTGATTTTCCTTTGATTTAGGATTTCTGTGTCCACATTCATAAGCAAAGCTAGCTTTTCCAGTTGCCTTGGCTTGGTTTTTAAATCCACGGTTGACTTTCTCTCCAGTTTTCATAGACAAAGATTTCTGTGCCCTTGCACTCCTTAGTCTCAGGTGCGGGTGCAGAGCAGGGGTGCTGACCCCCAGCCTCAGTTGGTTCTTCCTGAAGTACTCCATGTTTCTCCATCCTGACTAGACAATGCACGAGGGGAGCTTTTAAAATACACCCACGCCCAGACCCCTCTTCAGATCAGCTCACCAGAATCTCAGGCTTGTCTACCTCCCAGATGTGGCCACGGGCCCCAGCTGTAGCTCTTAGGTGCTGAGTCTCAGAGGTGGATGTATTGTCAGCGGACCTGCTCTTTTTTTAGCGGGTGAAGCTTTTGGTTCCACAGGAGGAGAGAAGGACCTGAGAACTTATGTGTCTTCCCTGGGGTGGCCTTGCCCCTTTCCCAGGCCTGCACTGGTCACATGGCCCCAGTCTGTCCCTAAGTGCCCAGGATAATGTCCAAATCCGCCAGTATGCAGTTCCCCAGGCCAACCCCCCCTCCCCTGGAGCTGGTTTATCTTGATCCCAAAGTAAGCTGTTTGTTCCAACAGCAGCTCATTCATTATGTGACCACTGGATCGTGAGCATTTCATTATTTTATGGAATCTGTTATCATGGGGCCTCTTGAATGCGTTTTCATCAGTGCTGTTGGCATCAGAGGACTCTTGTGTTTTGTCCATTTTCCCTCATGGTGTCTGTAGTTTAAAAACCAGGATTTCAAAGGTGGACCAGCAAGTCATAATCAGTGAATAGATGGTCAAAAAACCGTGATTGTGGATTCTCTCTCACTTCAAGCATTTCTAGAGCCACCTTACTCCCAAACCCCCCAGGCTACAATTTGTCAACAGATGACCACAAGCAGGAACATGTTAGAGTTTGTCAGGCAGGCTGCAGTACACTACACATTACTATCTGTATACACTGCCTCCGTGTCCTATTTATAGGACAGCTACTTTATCTTTTTAATAAATCTTTTTAATGAATTTATTTGAGAGGCAGAGTTACAGAAAGAGAGAGGGGGAGAGAGAGGGAGAGACACAGAAGAGGTCTTCCATCCACTGGTTCACTCCCAAGATATCTGTAATGGCTGGAGCACAGCCAACCCAAAGCCAGGAGCCAGGAGCTTCTTCTGGTTCTCCCATGCGTGTGCAGGGGCCCAAGGACTTGGGCTGTCTTCTACTGCTTTCCCAGGACATAGCAGAGAGCTGGATAGGAAGTGGAGCAGCCAGGACTCGATTGGAACTCATAAGGGATGCCAGCACTGCAGGCGGCAGCTCTACCTGCGACACCACAGCACTGGCCTTGCAGATGTGTGTTTAAAAATAGCAGCAGATTTTGTTGGTGTTTCTGGTTGAGTAACTCTGCTTAATCAGTAGTTTGTTGAGTGAGCAAAAGGCCTCTTTCCCCGATCTTCCAGAACACCACAAATGTGGAGAATGCAAATGCTGCAATATGTCCACTTGTTTGCAGTCAGTCCAGCAACTTGGGCAATGCTGAGACCTAGAAATGCCTCTTTCCTTGGAATAAGATGTTCAAGTCCCCTCACTCTGCCCAACATCTTTCTGGGCTTGCAGCCTGTGCTGGGCCCAGCTGTTTGCAGGGTGGAATGAGCTGGGACCTGCATGGTTTTATCTAGCCATGGGCACAGCCTGGCTGTTCTGTTCACCACAGCACCCAAAAGGAGCACTGGGCACATCAGTAATGAGCTGCCCTCCCACACGTGGTTGTCACGGGTTGAGGGCGCCTCCAGCAATGGCTGGCTGGCCAGGACAAGGAACAGGGACTGGGGAACCAGCCACGTAGTGGTGATTGTAAGGAAACCTCTCTGAGCCTCAATTTCTCCATCAGAATACTGATATAGTGATGGTTTGTTTAAAGTGTTAGCATGGCAGTAGCATGCTGTATGCACTAAATTGGTAAGAAAAGCTTAGCAAAATAACAATAATGGAGCCAAGGCATGCATCTGGCCTCAGGGAGGCTGCAGAAGATCTGTGTGGTGAGTGCAGGCCTGGGCAAGGCCTGCTTCATCCTGGAGCTCAGAATAGAAGCAGGAAGTGCTGGCATCACCATGCAGGTCTGTGAGGTCAGACAACTGAACTGGGTCAAGTACACACAGGTGTCAGGATTTATAGTCCAGGAAGAGACCCAAGACCCAGGCTTTGCTTGGCCTGGAAGGAAGGAGAGAACCCATACCTGTGTCTGCACGGCCCCCCTTTGTGGCACGTACACGGATGCAGCACAGCCTGGGCTGCTCGAAGTGAGGGATCAGCCTGGGCCAGAAGCAGTCAGCTCTCCAGAGGGCCTGGGGCTCCCGCTCCATTTTGTCTCAGAAATGTTCTATATTATTTGTTATGTGATTATTATCTCTGTGCTCTGGTACTAGCCCTCTCTGATCTCAGTTGGTGAGAACAGGACCTTGTCAGTACAGGGCTTGGCACCAGGAACAGACTGTGTCAGGAGGGGCCACGGCTCAAACACCAGTTGGGGACAGAATGCCCAGCCTGTGGAAGGGAGAGAATCCGTCCTGTACAGGCATGCCCTTTGTTTAATTAACTGTCCACATGGCTACCTTTCAGGCAGAAAGAAATTGCTGTGTGTTCCATCTGCTGCAGGGTCCATAGGACAAATGCTTCTCATCACGTTGCTTCGCAATCTGCAGTCAGGGACTTCTCATTACCAACTAGATCCCCTCCTTGTTGAGGGTGGGTGTTTGAACTGTTGTGGTCCTTTTGATAAGTATCTGTTAGCATCTCAACTGTAATAAACCCCGACGATAGTTGAATTTCTTTCTCATTATAAAGAGGAAGAGTTACATTTTAAACTTTTATTTAATAAATATAAATTTCCAAAGTACAACTTTTGAATTTTAGCAGCTTTTCCCCCTGACAACCTCCCTTCCACCCTCAACCATCCATATTTTGGTATCCTATTTCTTTAAGATTTTGTAATTCTCATTGTAGAGATCTTTAACGTCCTTGGTTAAGTTTATTCCAAGGTATTTGATTGTTTTTGTAGCTATTGTGAATGGGATTGATCTTAGAAGTTCTTTCTCAGCTTTGGCATTGCCTGTGTATACAAAGGCTGTTGATTTTTGTGCATTGATTTTATATCTTGCTACTTTGCCAAACTGTTCTATGAGTTCCAATAGTCTCTTAGTAGAGTTCTTTGGATTCCCTAAATAAAGAATCATATCCTCTGCAAAGAGGGATAGTTTGACTTCTTCCTTCCCTATTTGTATCCCTATAATTTCTTTTTCTTGCGTAATGGCTCTGGCTAAAACCTGCAGTAATATATTGAATAGCAATGGTGAGAGTGGGCATCCCTGTCTGGTACCGGATCTCAGTGGAAATGCTTCCAACTTTTCCCCATTCAATAGGATGCTGGCCATGGGTTTTTCATAAATTGCTTTGATTGTATTGAGGAATGTTCCTTCTATACCCAATTTGCTTAGAGTTCAGTGGGAACTTTGCTTGATGTTTTCCATTTTGGTCTGCACAGTGCTTATAGCTAAGCTTGGATGTTCAGTAGGTGAGGAGCATTAATGCACTTCCAACATACTCAGTTTTCAGTCTGCTGGGTTTATCAGGGCTTAACTCCATTGAAAGTTGAGGAGCATCTGCAGCCTTAGTAGGCTGTGGGGCCCAGGGGGCTGTCACTGCTGGTCTGGCCTTGCCCTGCGTAATAGGGTCAAGCCCTGGGTGAGTGGAAGAGCCTGGCAGTAGGTGCAGCTGGGGAAATGGGTTCAGGGCTGGTGGTTTACAGGGGAGAAGTGCCCTGCAGGTGAGTCATTTCCATCTGCAGGGACTGGCTGGCCCTGGGAGGGGCTGCTCCAGGATGAGCCAGGCCCCAGCTATGAAAGCATGAGAGTGGAAGGCATGGTGGAAAGACATGTGGGGATGCTGGGGGTTGCATGGGATGGCACGTGGGGGCCACAAGGAGAGCAAAGGGGAAGCTGGAGCTAGCGGGGATGGCACTGGGACTCTCCAGGAGCCAGTCCATGTTGGTCTAGGATGTGTTTGAGGACCTGCAGCACCTGATCACAGAGCACAGCACCATGAGCCAGTGTCCTTCCTGGGCTCCTGAGCACCCTTGGGTACAGGGTGGGGGTGAGAGGGCCTCTGTTGTCCTTGCTTTGTGGACAGAGGAGGCTGAGGCAGTGGACACAGCAGCTCCAACTCCCAGTGTGATTGGCTGAGAGCCCTTGCTCCCCACTTCACACGTGATGTGTGGGAGGAATTTAGAAAAGCAAGCAGAATGTCTCTGAGGGCCCCAGGGAGACGTCCTTGAGGGGGGTGTAGCTAGTGGAGACACGGGAACACCATCCCTGGTGTCACAACTGAGGCAGAGAAAGCCATGGGGATTGCTGTGCTGATCTGAAGGCAGGAGCCAGTCTCTTCTTCCAGGTCTCCCACATGGGTGCAGTGGCCCAAGGACTTGCACCACCTTTTACTGCTTCCTCAGGACATAGCAGAGAGCTGTATTGGAAGTAGAGCAGCTGGAACTCAAACTGGCACCCATATGGGATGGCAGCACTGCAGGCGGTAGTTTTACCAACTATGCACAACAGTGCAGTAAGCTTTTTTAAAGAAAGCTCAACATTTCATGGATTAATTTTGTGAAGATAAAATGTTACTGACAGAAGGCCATGTGGTTGGAAGCCCCTTACTTTTGTCCTCACTACCCCTATATTCTCTTCTTACACTGAGGGAGAACAGGAGCGAACTTCTGTTGGAATCGTTCTATGTATACCCCAATCAAGGACTCTTCTCCAAAACCAAAGCAAAACAAATAAAAGATATAAAAAGCAAAAGAAGGAGGTTTCCAGGCCAGACCTTCTGAGCAGTTAACAGAAGCAAACAACTCTTCTCTAGAGAGAGAGTTCATAGCCAAACGGTCCCAGTTAGAAATCAATTGTTCAATACGTGAGGAAAAACCTTTTAAAAAGGGAAACAAGGAAAGAGGAGGGCCCTGATTCCTTAAAAATACTTCTAAAACTACAGTGTGATGGAGGATATGTAGTAAATATGTTGAACACATTATGAAAGACAAATTATTCCAAGAAAATATTAAAACATTAAGTAAATATTAAAATACCACTATAAACTCTATTGTTGTTTAGAAATAACCAAATAGGACACACTAATTGAAAATAATACAATGTGAATGAGGTACAGATCAATTTAGACACTGCCAAAGAAAGAATTGGCAAACTGGATGTTAGATTTAAATAAATAATGCAAAACAGCACAAAGGCATACAGATTGAAATAATAACATAGAGATAAAAGACATAAAGTGAGAAGATACAGCCTTATCTAATAGGGCTCAAAAGGGAGAAAGGAGATGGAAAGAGATAATGGCTGAGAAATTGCAAGTGGACACAAGTTGAAGGAGCATGAATCCTTAAAAGAATAAGTAAAAATAAGCACACATTGAAATGAATTGTGCTGTAATTCAGATTACCCAGGAAGCTAAGACAATTTGACTGAGAGGACCACTTAAGAACAAGAGAGACTGAAGACAGTGGAATAAATTTCTGGAAGAGGCTGAAGGAAAGTAACTGTCAATCTTAAATTTTAGACCCAGCTAAACTACTTTTCAAGGATTTAACTCAGAAAGTAACAAACTGAGTGTTATGCAACTAAAGTCTTAATAAAAAAATGATGCTCCTCCACCAATGATCTGGAAGCCAAAGGATGACTGATTTGAGCAAATTGCTTCTAAGATGCAGAATGAAAGAACTGTAACATTTTTGACAGCCACCTTTGACAGTGGAGGTTTCTTTTGAACTGAAGCAATTCATATAGATTTAAAATCTACTAAAATATATTTTAGTCTATGCTTGTTGGAGCCTTAATCATGGAAGGAAATATCTAAAAATGCTGGTAGTGGAGCAGTTATGGTGATAGATTTGTGACTTCTAAGCTTCTACTTTTCTCACCTTTTTAAACATTTTGTTAAAAAAACACAATATCACATGAATAATTGTTTGCTTAATTTAGAGGTAAAAATATCCATAAAACAAAGGAATTGATGTTAGTGTCAGAAGATTTATGGTATTCAATCCTTATGCTTTGTTGTTACTATTATGTAATTTGTTTTCTTTTTTAAATGAATGTGAATTTATTTTCCTGGCTAAGGAGTCAAGAAGCAAAAGTATTGATGCTTTAGAAAAAATGATTTGTTACTGATATTGATGAGACCAATTAACTGTTTCCACCAGAATGTACTTTTTTGTGAAAATGTTAATTGGTGTAGTTTATTTAGAATACACTAAAGAACCAATCAGTTAAAATTTATGTGATATATCCTTTCAGGAGCAATATTTCATAGATAAAGGCACTACTGCAAAGCATACATAGGAAAGGAAATGTATAGCAACTATTTGTAGAGCAAAAGTAAACAAAACCCAAGACACACTAACTAAATGTTTAAAAAGTCTTGTCTTCCAAGAACAAAGAAGTAATGTACTAGTTTAGCACAATACATAAGTTCCCCAGTACAGAAGCAAAACAGAATCTAAAAAGCAAGCAACAGTATTAGGAAGTTACTGGAACTGCCAATGGTCAGAGGTGAGAGGGTTTCAGTTTTATATCAGGCAGGGCATTGAAACTCAGCACCATGTGGAAAGCTGGGATCTGGAAAGGGTATAAACAAAGTACAAGACATACTGAATCACTAAACTCACTGATCCAAGAACATGACAAAGAAGGTTTTTTTTTAAAGATTTATTTTTAGTTTAAAGGCAGAGCTATGGGGGTGGGCGAGATTGGTCTTCCACTCACTGCTTCACTCTCCAAATAGCCACAACAGCCATAGCTGAACTGATCCAAGGAGTCAGGAGCTTTTTCCCGGTCTCCCATGTAGATGCAGGAGCTCAAGGACTTAGGCCACCTTCCACTGCCCTCCCAGTCCACAGCTGGATGAGCTGGATGTGGACTGGAGGAGCTGGGTCTCAAACTGGCACCCAAAGTGGATGCTGGCACTGCACACAGTGGCTTTTACCTACTAAGCCATAGCGCCAGCCCAGACAAGGAAGGTTTGACAGAAGCTCTCAATGCCTAGTCTATATCTCTAGAAAATATCTCATTCTAATGAAATGCAATTATCTGAGATAATTATGATAGGATGCTTGGCTTGTGGGTAAACAGTGCAAGCTTGAAGCTCTAAAGATAATCCCCTCAGGAGTGCCCCCACCAGAAATGGACAGGGACTCAGGAGGCAAATATCTCACCATTTTCTCTCCTGGTCTGGGACAGCTCTGGATGTGTTTGCTTTACATAGGGGTCTCAAAGGTGCAATATATTCTAAATAAAGAAGAAAAAAGTCTTCCAAAAAGAAATTACAGATAAATATCCTTGCACTGGAGTACAAATGCATTATTTTGTACACAGTGTAGAGAAATATCAAGTTCATTTTAAATTATTAAGTATTTTAAATATCAGGGAGAAGGAAGCAGTTGATACACCTTAGATACTAGACAAAAGCAAACTCGAAATTATTCAGAGGAATATTGACCAAAATCCTGCCATATTTATATCCTGCAAGGGAGAATAGAAATTTTTGTGTGTTTAAAATAAATTCACAATACAGTGCTATTAAAATACACAAATAATATACCATGATTTTGAGAAAACAAAATAAATAGAGATTTGTGCTCCCCTAAAACTTGAGATAACAAAGCAACAGTTTCAGGAAATTGATAAATATCTTTAATTCTTTTAATGTATAGAAATGAGGAAATTTATGTAACTAAGATGATAGCTAATTCTTTCTCAATTTTTACCATGAACTAGCTAATCTCTCAGCAAGCAAAATAATGTGCAGTTTACGTGAGTAAACAACTTAGTTTTTGTCTCCTGTTATTTTTTGGTACAGATACAGAAAATTTTTCTCATAAAGATAAATGTATACATTGTTATCCTTTGCCATAGAATAGTGGAAGTCTTGACCACTGCAAAAATTAAGACATATAAAGAGAAAAAATCAAGCTCACAGCCAATTTCAGCACATGAAGTGGGGCTTCCCACCTTCCAGGAAGAGACAGAGATCAACTGCTGAACAAACTAACCATAATAAAACTAAGACACCCAGAGAAGACTAAAGAAATAGCCTTATAAGAACAAATGAGTTAAGCCACCTACTAGCTTTGTGACTAGATCTGTGGCACCTTTAATAACAACCTGGGCAGGGCTACAAAATGTCACATAGATACCTGGCTTCTGATTTGGTGGCTTGATGGGAGGTACAACAGTGGGAGGTACGCAAGAGCTGCAGACACGTGGAGTGGAGAGGAAAACCGGAGGAGGGAGAGAGGGAGAGTAAACGCCAATAAAAATCCCTTAAAATGTGCCTGCCTCCCCACAGAAGATAAGCTATCTTAGCTGGGCTACAATGCTGACGTGAATACTTAATGAAATAAGCCAGTTACCAATAACAAATACCCCAAATTTTCCCTGACCTCTGATAACACAGTGAACCAAAAATGCAATGTATATGAGCAATATTGACCTGAGATTTGATTATTGTTTACAGCCCTCTACTGTTGGGGAAGAGTTTTTTTTTCTTTTTGTTCAGTTCTGTTTTTAGTGGACGGTTAAGGTTATGATCATAAACAGAATGTGTCTCCCTTCAAAAATGAAAAAAAATGTTGAAAACAATTTTGATGTAAATTTGCTTCAGCTGGAATCAACATGGGAAAGAAAAATACTACTAAGACTCTGAACAAGGATATCCTAAGTAATAACATCGGGGCCCCTGAGGACAAGGCCTGGGCTTGGTTCTGCCCGGCTTCCTGACGCAGGACCCTCACCACTGCAAGGCCGGGCCCCCGATGGAGCCGCCAAGCGCTCGTGAGCGACCTGGGAACCCGGACTTACCCGCGTGCTGTAGGAAGGCCGATGATGGCGACAGTGGAGGTCAGGAAGGACGTTCCCACCATCTGGTGGAGTCCCTGAAGAACCCACAACGGTCAAAACGGCTGATTTATGGGCCACGTTCAGAAGAGTCTGAAGACAGCGCAGCACCTGGAAGGGAGAGGAGCCCGGCAGCCGCTGCTGCGCCTGCCTAACGAGGGCTGAAGTGGTCCGTTCCCGCCAGAATCCGGGCTGGGAGCTGGCTCTCCCGCGAAAGGGAACTCCCCACCTGGAAGCTGCCATGCGGGAAACCATGAAGGACAGGGGTCTGGGCTGGGGGAGGGGTCGCCCCTGTGCTCACGTGCACCCCCACCCTAGGGAACTGCCTGCTGATCTCTGACCTCACCATGTGCATGGGAGACCATGGCCTTGCCCACAGCAGTTACAAGGTGGGGGCTGCCCTCCAGCGGGGCGGGTGCCAAGAGGGTGGCCTGAGCCGCCTGACTATCCCCCCAAGGTGGTCTGCCCCCAGGAGGATATTACCTGGCGGGAGCACCTGTGGATCCCATTGCGCTGGGCGGAGATTGAACTCCTCAGGGAGCTGCACTGCACCTCCATGGTGGTGGACCAGAGCCGCGAGAGCAACATCTGGTGAGGGCTCCCCGGTTCTGCAGGCGGGGAAACTGAGGCTCGCAACCCGCAGCGTGACAGCTCTGGGTTCTGACCTACCTGCACCACCCCTGTGCCGCCAGCAGGTCCCTGGGGGTGATCCTGTGGGAGCCCTTTTAGTATGGGGCGTAGCCCTACCGCCACCTCTTGGACGAGGGGGTCCTGGCCTTCGTGGTCCGCAGCAGCTCCTCCAGCAGAGTCAAGCTGTCCTAAACCGACTACTGCGTGGACCGCAGACCTGCTGGGGGCCTGGCTCTCCCACCACCTCTGCCAGCACCTGTGACATGGAGGGAGGAAAACAGGCAGGGAGGAGCACTGCTGCGACTTGATGCAGTTTCTCCCTAACAGACTCCTACTGCTTCCATCTCTAATCCAGACAGGGCTCCTCACACCTGCCAGCCTCCCCCCTCCCCACCGTCCCCCCAGCTTTCTGCCCTGCACCCTTTCACCCCACCCCCCAACCCTGTATGACATCCTGCAGTCTGGCTGGCTGCTGCCTGCCCAGCGCCCCTCAGCCTCTGACCTCCAGCTGCAGCTCACCTACCTGCTGTCCCAGCGGCCTCCCCTGCTGCCCCCCCCCGCCCCCCGCCGACTCCTCCCGAGATGGCCCCTTCCCCTGGCCCTGGCCCATGTCGCACAGCTCACCGCGCCCCAGGACCCTCGTCCTCGTTCCCGCTTCTGGATGGCTTCCCCGAAGCTGATCCAAAGACGGCCTGAACCTCCAGTGCTTGTGGGAGAAGACCCGGCGGGGGGCGGCGCCCCTTGCATCCTGCGTCCAGGTCCCGGCCCCCCTTGTCAACCCTTCCAATCCTGTCTACAAGGCACTGTCCACACCTAGTGTGCTACCCTGTCAATGTCCACAGCCCGTTAGTGAGCGGGGAGTACTATGTGTGCCTGTAGGAGTGTGGTTTCCACCCGGAGCCCCACTTCCCCAACGACTGGAACCCTCTGGACCCAGGCGTGCCTGCCCCCCCAGGACTTCAGGTCACTCCCGTGGTCCTCCAGCTAGTATCTGAGACCTGGACCTCCCCCTTCTTCTCTGGGCCTCTCCCGGCCCAGTCCTGGGCAGCAGGCAGCTTCCTGCTGAGCGGCTGGGATCCCAAGGGCTGGGGAACGGGGGAGACGCTGGCGGGAGACCTTGTGGAAGTGCTGGGAGAGTGAGGAGGAGGAGGAGAGCAGCTCTCCAGCGAAGACAGCAGCACCTGTGGAGGGGTGGCCCCAGCCACCAGGCCCCTGCCGTGCCCCAGTGCAGCCACAAGGGGGCCTACTCCTGCCTGCCGCTGGAGCCGGATGAAGTTGTGGGCGGTTGGCGCGGCACGCTGCCATTGGCTGTCCCCACCCCCCACTGAGGACGACTCCTCCCTACGGGCAGAACGAGAGAACGCGGCTTCCTGGCCTACTTACCCCTGGTCCCCACCTCCTCGGCCCCCCTGAGTTTCTGGACCTCATAAGAGCAGCAGCCCCCAGTACCCCGGGCGGGGACCACCTCCCGCTCCTCACCCCCCCCCCCTTCACCTCAGGCACCCGAGGACCTGGGCGCGTCCCCCGACGGCCATGGCCAGTTCTGGCTCAGGCCTGTCCTCTCGGGACCCCAACCAGGACACAGCGGCTACGACACCGAGACCCTTTTTTTCTCTCTTGAGGGAGCCTTGCCAGGTGCGGGGCTGAAGAGGACGCGGTCCCTCTGCCACGGTCTCCCCCAAGCCACCCGACCCAGCAGCGCCCTGGCTGCCGCAGACCCGGGTCCCCTCTCCCAGGGTCCTGGGAGAAGCTGATTTCCTAGGGTACAAGGGGTGGACACGCCGGAAGGCAGGAAGAGGCCCTGAGAACAGAGAGAAAGCCCCAGGGCCTGAACAGGGACCTGCCAGCCCTGGGCAGCGGGAAGAGAGCCCCAAGCCTGAGGTTCCCTGTGATGGGGCGACAGTGCTGGGGAGCGGGGGACAGCCCTTGATGAGGGGAAGGAGGCAGTGTAGAACGGGGTCCCAAGGTGGAGAAAGCGCTGGGAATGGGGAGCTGACGCCCCCAAGGAGGGAGGAGAAGGCGTTAGAGAGTAGGGGCCCAGGAGTGCAGAGAAGCCACCAGAGCCGGGGCCGTGGGGAGCCCCAGGACCCTGGGAGAAGACGCGGGAGAATGGGGGCCAGATTCGGAGCACTCACTGGAGAGACCCTCTCACATCAGGTATGGCGGCTTCACCCCAGAGTGGTGTGGAGACGGGCCCTGGCCCCCTTGGCCCAGTCGCCAGGAGTGGGACATTGAAGCTGGGACCTAGAGGAGACGGGTCAAGGGGGCGCCAAGAGCTCCTGGGGCTGGGAGGCTGGACCTCGTGGGGGGGGGGGTGAGCACCAGTGGGCACGGGGATGGTGTGGATACAAAGGTCAGATGGGTAGAGAGCACGAGGCCACCAGAGCTGCCACTGTCCCCAGAAACACAGCCGGGGAGGCCAGAGCCAGGTGGGAAGTGCTGTCAGAGGGAGAGTCTGGGTCCCAGACAGCAAGGACTGCGACGACAATGCACCCAAGGGAGACGGGAGCCCCCCCACCCCAAGCCAAGAGGAAGTGCCCCCAGTTGCCGCTGCTATTCTTGGACTTGGGACCCCCACAGGGGAACAGCGAGCAGAACAAAGGTGAGGAGGCCTGGGGGAGCTCAGGTGGAGGCCCTGGTGGGGCAGGGTAAGCACAGCCTGGAGGCCGGGCAGGCTGGGCATGGCGGACCCCAAAGCCACGGCCACCGTGGCTCAGTCCCACCCTAGCTCTGCCGCCTGGGGCCCATGTCCTTCCTGTTGTGTGCCTCAGTTTCTCCATCTGCCAGAACAGATGGAAAGGACAGCACCTCCCTCCCAGCACTGTAGTTAAAGGAGTGAGATAACCTAGAGCATGCAAAGCCCACCTGCTTCAGCCACTGCTACTCCCAGACACCAGGGTCTGTAGCTCAGCTGCCCACAGCAGCCAGACAGCAGCATAGGGACAAGGATGGGGCCAGCTCGGCTCCAGAGAAACTGCCAGGTCCTGAGGGGCAGCTCCTTCTCAGGAAGCCCACCTCTGCTCTTTCCCCCTTTTAAGCCAGAGTACTGTTTGGTTTTTTTCCCCCATGGCTGCAGCCAACTCAGAGGCAGTGCATCCTTGGCCTTGTGGACTTCGGGGGAAATTATAGGGGGCTGAGGTGTCCGCCCCCCATGTTAGCCTCGAGGTGGGGATGGGGAGTGTGCCAGGCCCTGATCTGCCACCCACGTCAGCCCTGGTGAGCTGGAGGCACAGCAGTGCCTTTCCTGGAAAGGCAGTTGTATTAAGGATGTAGGAGTGTTTCACCCCTGGGGGCCCATGACAGAAAAGACAGAGGCATTGCGGGGTGGCCCTCAGAATCTCTGGGAGGCGATGGTGGATCCTGTCTGTCTTGGGGACTCCTGGGCTCTCCTCTCCAGGTGAGTCTGTGGCTGGGGGCAAGGGCCAGGAAGGGGCTGGGCACCGGCCTCTGTCTCCTCAGCACCTTCACCAGGCCACAGTGGGCAGTGTGGGGACAGCTGTGTTGGCAAACCTGGAACAGCTGCAGACCTTGGTGGGCAGGATTGAGGTTCGAAGCCGGGTTTCCTCCTGTGGGGACCTGAGACCAGGGGCTGCTAGGGCAGGGGAGGGGCCTGAAGACCGCCAGAGAGTTCAGCTTTGGCATCTGTGTGCCAGGGTCACACTGTGGGCACCATTCATCCATTAACTTCACAGGTACCGACTGAGACCTCCCAGGAGCTTGGCTCCATTTCTATCTCCCTGCCACAGTGAGAGGGTCTGGGGGCTTCAAAAGCCCCCAGCTGGCAGAGGAGTAGGGCTTGCCTTAGGAAAGTGAGTTCCTGGCAGGTGCATGGGTTCAGAGGTGGAGAAATGGGGAGATGACGCCTGTGGCCAGAGGCACTGGACACAGACTGAGGGGCGCCTGCACAGAGTGCTGGCTGCTGTTGGGCCTGTGGCTAGGGAGTAGGAGCTGGGGGCTTTCTGGAGCACAGCCAAGCCTGGGGGCCTGCCTCAGTCTCTGCGGGTCAAAGGACTCACTCTATCTCTCCCCTTGTAGTCAAGCTCTCTCAGGTCTCCCTGGCACTGCTGCAGCTCATGCTCACGCAGTTCTCGGGCCAGGGCCACGGCAGCCCCCATGGGAGGGCACAAGCACCAGGGTGGCTGGTGGGGAGGCCAGCAGAGGCCAGCAGAGGACGACAAAGGAGCAGGACAAGGGGTTGAAGTTGTTTGTTGAATACTAGTCATGTTTTATTTGGTTATCCCTACTACTATAGTTTTTTTCCATTTCTTTATGTTTAAATAAAGCACATGTACATCTTTATAAAAATGTATGATGGCACATAGGCCCAATTCCATAATGAAAAAAAATGCAGATTCCAGGATGTCTGAATGGGAAGATGTGCTGCTTTTCACTACTGGAAAATAGCAGAAGAAAAGCAGGTTCGGAGGTGGGAGGAATGGGCAGTGCATGCCCAGGGAATAGTTGCAGTGGAAATTCTACAGAAGGAAGGGGGATACTGAGGAGCAGTGGCGAAGGTGCAGACCTGCAGCAATGAGTGGGGACACCTCCCATGACTCCCACAGCCAGGGACTGGAGGAGGTGCCAGCTTTGGAAATCGCAGTGTGAAGTGACTGTGCAGCCCAGTCCACTGGTGATTTTGTATGGGGGAGAGCTTTGTGGACCACACTGTCTGGAATGGAGCCTAACAGAGGGCATGGTATCCACCTAATCCAGTGAGAGAAAAGGCATTTATTTCTTCCAATCCCCTGACAAAGGTACCTGGCAACTGGTGGGGAGAAGGTGCCCTCTTGACACCAGTAGAGTTGGTGGTTCCTTTTGTGCAGGGGATTTTGTGAGGGAAAAATGCACATTACCCACTGACTTTCACTTGAAGGGTTGAACTAGGGACCAGGCAACTACATAGGACTGTGAGGTGCCCCCTTCCTGTCCACATATCACAGGTTCCAAGACTCAAATGCCAAGGCAGAGCATCCATGAGCAGCTGGCTCTGAGAACATCTCTGTTTTCGCGTTGGACAGGACAGACATGCAGGTCAGCACCCTGTAGCTGTGACTGTGGGAATACTGTGACTGCATGTTAGGGCACAGGTTGTATCTGGGTCTCTGGGCAATCACTGTGTCTGGCATCAGAGGCTCAGGGGTCCTTAATGGCCTGTGCTGGGTCATTGCCAAAGGTTCCTTGCTTATACTGAGTACTACACAGATCTGTTGTGTAATTCATGTGCCAGCGTGGATGGGTGTTGTACCCATTGTGGGATAACTACCCTGTCATTGATCACCTTGGAATAAAGGAGATGAGACTGAGATTATGCCAACAGGCATATCTTGCGTATCATCCTGGATTCTCGCCCTACCTTTGAGCTCTCACCAGAGTTTACTGGCCACACCCAGCAGATGCCTCTGGTATTCACTTACAGAACAGACATTTAACTTAGTCAGAGGGACATAGTTCAAGTATAAAATCCATCAGAGGAGAAAAACAACAAGTATATCGATAAATGCCTGAAATAATGCAGAAATACAAGAAACAAGAATAAGGAAGACAATATGATTTTCCCAAAAGAACACAACAAAACTTCAAATTAGAATGTGAAGACAAAGAGATTGATGAAATGCCTAAAAAAGAATTCAGAAGAGTGATAATGTGGGAAACAAATTCATGAGTTAAAGAAATCTATACATGACAAGGAAACTTTTCCTGTAAGATTGAAGAGAAATGAAGCAAATATTAGAAATGAAGAATTCAATGAATCAAATAAAATACAGTGGAAATC